GATTTGTTTTGGACAAAACAACAGAGACCCTTCAGAGACAGCTGTGCTCCGAGGTCAGATGGATAGTTGGGTGGGAGAAGCTCTTTCAACTGGAGTGTGCAAAAAGGAAATGTTTATTCAGGATAACTGGTTAAGAAGATTTTACTCTTACTGTGAGATTTTAAGGTTGACTCAGGTGTGGACATGAGGGGATTTTACAAAAGGCAGCATGTTCTTCCTTCATATCCCATTGCCTGATGTCACATGGATTTAACCGAGGTTTCTTGCATTCCTTGTGAATGAGAATATATAGGAATGTTCTTAGTAACTTATAAACTTCGATAAGTGTTGCTTAATTGCTTGATTTGGAAGAAATCTCTCATCTGTATTTATTGCAGCCTTGTTAAATCTGTCAACAAATATAGATAACAGAGTGGGTGCAAAGCCTGTGTTATGGCTTCCGTTTGTATCTAATAACCAATAAACATAGTCCCTACCCTCAGCTCAGAGATTCAACTTGGAATTGTATAAACAGGCAGGATGGCAGTCCAGAAGAGGAACATTTTTAATGCTTTCGCTAGTTTGTGGTTTTAGACAAGTTGGTCATGGCTACAATAACTGCCATTATCATTACTTATGGAATAGAGTTTGGCTTGTATTGAATTCATCCGACTGTTTTATTGAGGCTTATTCTTATTATATTTTATATACCATGGGAATCACTGTGTAGAATGCTAACATAGGCACATGGGAACATTGCACCTATCCCCGAAGACTTAATGCATTAAAGAAGAAACCAAGAAGGGAAAGTAAGCTTGATAGTTGATTTAGCTTCTGGGGCTTTTAAAAGGAAGACTCTGTGGCATTTCGAAAAGTTAGATGTTGCATGATAATAGATAAATAAGGAAATTGTATGACTTCAGATTATTGGTCTTCAAGGGGTAATAGCATGTCCTCACATTTTTATTTTATTAATAAATATTATTTTATTAATAAATAAAATTATCTCCCACTAGTTAATTTCAGTTGTTGGGACCTAGAGGCTGGTCGTTCCACTCTTTCTCAAAAGAGTATAACTTACAGAAAAGACAGCTGAGGTTTGATTTTTTCCTCCCAAATACTTTACGTATTCAAATCCAATCATATATTTCTATTACTTGCTATCCTAGAAACTAAGGTTTTTATGGGGAGAAATTGAGGGATTCTATTTGGCCAGCATTTATTTGAGGTGAGCCTGTGTATGTTGGTCCATACTATAGTTAAAGTGAAAAAGGACACTATTTTTTGTGTTTTACCTATAATGCTTGTCTGTAAGTGCTTCCTGACCCCATTATTATCTCCAGGCAGCAACTCGATAGGTTCTGGCCACTCCTTTTCCCAGTGTTGGGCTTGTCATTTAGTCAATTGGGTCTGAAAGACTGGGTCTGGAAGGCTGATTTGCATCATTTCTATGTGGCTGACTTCTGTGGCAGCACATTGTTCTCCTTTTTTTAGGGGAAAATGATAGTAGATGTTGTGTGGAAGGGGGATATGTGTGATGATGCCGAAGGTGTCATTCAGGGAGATCCTGCCTGCTGCCTTCGTGACTGCTTCATGGTGGCATTTCCATTCAGGAACCCACCACTGCCCTCCTTTCAGAATTCATACGGGGGTCAGAAACTCAATATTCTCCATTCGGTGATACTTTGCAAAGTGACTTGCTTTAACAGAACTCACTTGAACTTTTGTTTAAAGTCAGGACATCCACTTATTTATTTCCAGAATGTCTGCCATCAGGCCAGGCAGTTGTGTGGGGTTGACTGGAGCAGCCCACTCCCCACTGTTGTTAGGCTGACAAAGGAGCCAAACTAGGAGGCGCTTCTCAGTGAAAACAGTATCGGGGAAAGGGAAAGGAGCAAGGTTTCATAGCACTGGGCTCTGCAAGCCTGATGGTCCCCTTCTAGAATTGGATGTTGGGGGGGGGGGGGGCGGTTAATAAGTACATAGTGTGTGTTTGTAAGTGTCCAATGGGCTTCTGTGGACTCTATACCGCCAATGTCGGCCCCTCCAGCCCATTACTATAGTTGCTCTCTCTGACCCCACACCCCTTCCAGATGGGCACAGTCTGTAGGTACGTACATTGATGAAATCAAGTTTAGTTATGTCATTGGGACTCCTGGTGACTTTACATAGCTCCACTCCGATCTGTGTCTATTTTAGAATTTAGCTCACTGGGAATAGTCTTATTTTCTCCCTTCCAGGTGTGTGTGTAGGGGTTGCTTACTTTTGTATTCAAGTATAATCATTTGGTGTCTCCAGGTCATAGTTTGAATAGGTTTTGAATATACATTTAAGTATTTTCCCTTGCCTTGCTATTTATGGAGGAAAGCAGGAGTTGGAAAAAAAGAAATTGCAGCAAATATTTGATAGCCTCATTCACTTTACTCAAGACCACTGACGTGGAAGATGTGACTGTGCTAAAAACAGCTGAGCTCCCCCACAATAGGCATACACGGTGCCTGGGAGGAGCTGCCCAGGTCAGCGTCTACCAGTCCTGTCCTGTGGTAGCTATTTCCAAGTGGCACGATGGATGGAGCTGTGGATTGGTGCCAACGGGGTGATTAATCAGGATTACTCTGGAACAGTTCAAAAGGGGCTTTGGACGAGCTCTTCAAGGGTTTTCTTTGTTTTATTTGTAAAGTGTGTAGTCTTTGCTAAATGACAAACCTTGAATGTTGATTGACTTATTTGGAGAAAAAAATGTCTGTGCTTACTAGGCATCACTTTATTTCATTTTGCCTACTCTTTTAAATAGCACATGCCGCTCTGTTTTTTTTTTTTTTTAAATATATTTTTTTGATTTTTTTACAGAGAGGAAAGGAGAGGGATAGAGAGCTAGAAACATCAATGAGAGAGAATCATCAACCAGCTGCCTCCTGCACCACCCCTACCAGGGATGTGCCCCCAACCAATGTACATGCCCTTGACCGAACCAGGAACCTTTCAGTCCGCAGACCGACGCTCTATCCACTGAGCCAAACCGGTTTCAGCTGCTCTGTTTCTTTTAAGTGTGGCTGTCAGGAGAAATCTGTCTCGGTGGAACACACCGAGTCCTCTTCCAGATTCAGTGTTGGCCCTTTAGGTAGAGTCGTTTTTCCCCTGGGTTCACTCAAAGTAGCATTAAAACAAAACAAAACATTTTTATTGATTTCAGAGAGGAAGGGAGAGAGAAATAAGAACATCAATGATGAGAGAGAATCATTAATTGGGTGCCTCCTGCACGCCCCCTACTAGGGGTTGAGTTCACAACCTGAGCATGTGCCCTGGCCAGGAATTGAACTGTGACCTTCCTGGCTCATAGGTCAAAGCTCAACCACTGAGCCATGCCTGGCTGGGCTCAAAGTAGCATTTTTAAAGAAAATTGGGCTCTAAGCCATGCCCCCTTTATGTGTAAAGACTTGTTGGGAAAATGATTTAACTCCAATACATTTTAGTATCACTTTCTCAAATTCTGCTGAAGTTATGATCTCCCTCCTATTTCTGAGGTTTGTTTGCTTGTTGAATATTTTGTTTGTTTGTTTGATTGATTGCTGTTGCCCAAAGCCTTCATTGCTCGGAGAAGAGAGTGGGGTCCACAGGAAGAAGGAGGACCCTCGCTCTCTGGGAGTCTGCAGTTTGGATTCTGGCCCTGTGCTCATTAGCTGCTGATCCCTGGGCAAGTCAGCCTCCGAGGTTTTGTGTCTTCATCAGGAAAACAAAGGGCTTGGGAAAATAAATAGAGGCCTGGACCCAATGATAAGGAAGAGGCCGCCCTGCACACTTACTGTGGTGGGGTTCTGTGAATGGCAGGCAGGCAGCACACTCTCCAAGCCTCAGCGACCCCCTCAGCACCTGTGCCTGACTCGGGGGCTGAGAGGTCACGAGCGGTGTTCCACCGAGGCCCCTGGAACCATTCAGCAACCCAGGCAGGTTTGGGAGCTCTGCTCTACCTAGGTCGGAGTTTCTGCCTCCCTCCTCTGCTCTCTCCTCTTTCTTCCTTTATCTTTCAGCAGCAGCCCGCTTGCCTCCTACCTCCTCTGTAGTGCATTAGTCATGATGTGGCGGGTAACACAACCCGCTCAGGTTTGTCACTGCTTGGAGTTGTCCAGCCATCTCATCTCATCTCAGCCTCGGAGGGAAGAGAGAGCTAAAGGAGACGGCCCAAAGGATGAAATAATGGTCCTTTTGTCTGTCTCTTTGCTGTTGATGGTTTCATGTTTCATCTTAGGCCTGGACCATTGTACTATTTTTTTTTTTTTTTTTGCATGCTCAGTACAACCCTGTTTAAAACTACAGCTGTTTTATTGAAAGGATTTAGCCCTAATGCCACTGGCCCGGGCTGCTTTCCTTCCCACCCCCCAAAAGACTCATAACCGTTGGTAGTAAAAGCCCATGCTAGTGTGTGCGGTTTGATCACATCCCCTGACATCAGTTTTAAAATGTGTTCCCACCGTGTTTATTTTGCGATTGCTTAGAAGGTATGTTTCATTCTGATAGCCTTTCCAAATGTTTTCCTTGTGGTTCTATAATCAGTAGCATCTGTAGAACAGGCCTTGGACCATGTAGCTTCCTTCTTAATCGTTATCTTTTTTGATTCTCAGTTTTAATGTTTTCTTTTGATGAACTAGGGTTGGGAGGACCTGCATTCCTATTGCCAGACACCAGACAGTGATGTCCCCAGATCTACTCTCATAACCTTAATTAGATGTGGAATGCTAAGAATGCCCTTTGTGTTTTGTTTGTTTGTTTTTACTTTTATAGTAAGACAGTGAACTTCATTAAAAGTGATGGAACACTCCTCGCGCCTTTAGCATTTAGTTCCCCATCTTCAGTCATAGAAAATTAATGTAAAACTCAAGGTACCGTTATCTTATCCAAAATGATCTGTTTATTTGAACTCAAGTTACCGCTAATGTCAATATGCAGGTTATATTCTAACTTACAGCTGCTAATTCCTCTCCCCACCCCTCCTTTCCCCTTTAGAAACAAGGAGTGTGTCGAAAATGTTAAAGGCTGTGCTGAAGAAGAGCCGAGAGGGAGGAAAGGGGAGCAAGAAGGAGCCAGGTATGTGTACAGGAAGGAGCTGGGGTGAGCAAGCCTGGTGGGTGTGGCAGCAGGACCCCAGCCCAGGCTGGGCCCACGTCCCTGCCTTGGGCACGGATCCAAGAAGTGGTATGTGTTAGAGTGGACAGCATATGGAGCTGTGAGAAACTAAATACATGCCTACCTTTTTTTTTAAAAAATTATTTATTTATTTTTTTTTATGAGAAATGACTTTGAAATTGAGTTTGGGTTATGAACCAGATCCTTTCCTAGAAGGCTTGTTCCTAATTTTGAAAGGTTATTTAGATCCAGAGTTCCAGTTTGAGACATTGTGGGACAGCAGATGTGTCCAGGAATTTGGTTTCTAGGAAGTTTTTACCCTTTTCCCACATCTGACTGCATTTTCTGTTTGACCAACTGCTGGCTGACTAGTCCTCCTCTTTTGAGGATCAGATTATCCCCTTAACAGGTGCAGCCCACTCAGTGCCAATTTTATTTTGATGAGAGCTACTTAATTTGGCTTGGATTTCATTTCTGTGTGTATAGTCCAGTACATTTGTGGTCACTGTGACTCCATTCGAGTCCATGTGGAGAACTGTTCTAAGATCATTTTAGTGACCACTCAGTATTACACTCTCTTTCTCTTGCTAGAAAAACTACAGTGTCTGCCTGTATTGTGCAATAAAATTCTCTTAGCATGGATTAATTTTCCTGAAATGGTGTCATTTCACTCTAAATTCATGTTAACCCAGCATTGGAGAAATGCTGGTTTTCCAAGTTATTGAATGATTAGCATTTCAGTTCCAATTTCTCTTAAAATACAAAAAAAAAATCCACTTATTTCCAAAACATCACTGAATTATATTAAGTCCTTTGCTAAAAAGATCTTGTAATACCATGTGATAATCTTAATATCTGTTGTTTCTATACTTACAGATAAAGTGGACGTTAAAACTTTTTTGAATCTGGAACCTAGACACGTTTTCTATTAGTTATCCCTTAAACCAAGCCTGCAAAATGGCACACTTAACCTTGAAAGTGGGGTCTTTGTGATAAAGTTGCTGTTAAGATCCCTTGAGAAGCTTCTCATTAATGCCTGAGTAAGCAGATACAAAGAAGAAACCAGTTTTTAATGATAGAAACAGGAGACCATAGTTAGCTCTTAACCTTAGAAAATCAAACCGTAGCTTTGAATAATTAATTAGAATTGTTACTATGGAGAATTTTCAGTTCACATCATTTCTATCCAGAGAGACATTCATCCCCTGTTGAGGCATGGCCAAAACATCCTTCTCTTTATTTCTCTGAAAGCAATTTAAAAAGTATCTTTTTTTTTTTTTTTTTTTTTTTTTTTTTTTTTTTTTTTAGTTTTGGCTCTTCTGACACTCATCCTAGGACCTTTATTGTTTGATTCTTTGTAATTTATAGCATAAAGTTAGATCCTAAGCTATCTGTCTAGATTAACCAACCAGAAGCCAGGGTCTCCAAGTGAGAACTACCTCCTTAGTAACAGAATCTTTCACAGCAGTCCCAACTCATCTATATATATAAAAGCCTAATATGCAAATTGTTGCCTTAGGAGTTTGGTAGAGAGACTGGGAGTTCAATCTCTCGCTGTGACATTCCCTAACCACCAGGGGGCAGCACAGAACTAAGGAAGGCCCCAGCTGGCAGCCAGAAGACCCTGATCAGCCCTCATCACTGGCCAGGCATAGGTACTCTACCCATGCATGAATTTCCTGTTCTGAGCCTCTAGTGTGAAATAACAGTATATGAATGATTTTGACAATCTGCCTTTCAGATGGATCAGACAGTGAACATAGTTTACATTTAAAATTTTATTTGTAGACCATGTGATTTTGGGTTTAATTTCCCTGAGCAAATACTATTGTGTTTTTGTTGTTGTTGTTTTCTGAATAATTTTTTAATAATAAGCCCCACACTATGGCTTTTCAGTAATGCAATCCAACTTGAAAAAAGCAATGAGAACATTTCTCATAAAACATCTGTATGGTATGTGCCTTTTTCCTCTTAACTAGAACCCGGTTATATTAGTTGGGGAACAAAGCAGATGGAATTTTAAATCTTGAAGATATGTCACAGATGATTGGGAAAAATACTTGGAATTTAACCATTTATATGCTTAGCTCTGTGCCAATTCTCATTATATACGTAAATCAGATCTAAGTTTCTCTGTAAATTGAAGCTGGCTAATCTACTGAAACGGCTCTGAAACTTGGGTAATAATATCTCCTGCATATGGAAAAATTTTGCCCTACTGTTTCCAATTAAAACCAATCTTTGTTGTAAACACAAGGGAAAATTCATTTTTATATACTTGAACTTGAAATCATAGAAATTTAGGAAATATTTGTCTAAAATACTGAGCTCCACTTTTCATATCCTTTGTAGATTGTTTTTATAGACAACCTTGAAATACACTTTTATGTTGAACCTATTTTAGGAATTTGGAAAAAGATCACTGAGTTTAATCTATTACTCTTCATATGAAAATAAGTATTACGCAATATTATATTAAGTTGTTATATTCTCAGCTCTATACCTAGAAGAAGATATATCATGTGACTACTTTAAAATACTGGTAAATGTTATCAGGGAGTGAAATTCAAATTATATATATAAAAGCCTAATGACCAGAACGACCAGTGGCTATGATCTGCACTGACTACCATGTAGCAGATGCTCAATGCAGGAGCTGCTGCCAGCCTACAGACCCTGATCACAGATGGAACCTGCTGGCCAACTTCCTAGTCTCTTCTCTTGATCGGCAGGCCTTGATGGCCCAATTGGGGCTGGGCCCCTGGGCTGGGACGGGGAACCAGGGGTGGGTGGCAGTGGACACAGCCCCTTTTCCAGGGGGACTGAGGGCTGACTCCCTCCTTGGGACTGGTGGCCAACCTCCTAGGTCCTTCCTCCTGGTCCCTCCCCTGGCTGCCAGGCCCCGATTGGCCCGCCGCCCACTCACATTGCTGGCGGTTGGCCCCTCCCCCCTGCCAACAGTCCCCAATTGCTCAATAGGGGCCTGCCTGCCAACCTCCTGTTCCTCCCTCTGGCTGGCAGGTCACAATAAGGGCCAAGCCCTGGTCTGTGATAGGGTACAGGTGGTAGGTGGCAGCTTGCAGGTGGTGAGTGAAGGAGAAGGCGGGGAGGTGGGGAACCACGTGGTGGCAGTGTGTGGGTGGTGAGGGAAGGAGGAGGCAGGGAACCTGATTGGTCCTGATTACTGGCCAGGCCCAGGGACTCCACCTGTGCACAAATTTTGTGCACCGGGGCTCTAGTATATATATAAAGTTTTTTGAAATATGTGCAGTGAGATATTAAACTACTGAAAGCCATTGCAAGAACTCTAAAAATAGAAAAAGTCTTTTTTATGGTTATGCTTTTTTTTTTTTTTTTTTTTTTTTTTTTTTTTACCAAGGAAGTGTCTAAAGCAGAGCAAAATTGTTTTCTGGAGGTTATCGAATCAAATGAGAGAATGCAATATTAAAAACTTCAATACGTGTTTTGGGAAAGTAAATTTACCTTGTCTCCATCACTCCATCAGGGTAAATGAGCACTGTCTTTCTCTTGACCTTGAGTTAGGCCCAAGGGAACAAAAATTGACATTAAACCATAATGTGGTGAGTGCCAGGCGAGGGCATCTATTTTTGTTTTTCATTTTTTGCTCTGTGCTCTTATACTTGGACTTTGATGTAAAAAAATAAGCTTTTACACTTTTTGTTTTTAAAAGCTCTACAGAGTAGTCTATACAACCTTCTACCATGCCTCTTTATTTTAAGTAACTTTTATTATCAGAACACTTTCATGTTACGATTATTAAAGTTATTTAAATTTGAAAATGAAATAATTATTGAACTCTAAGAATGGGCATATTCTGACATCAAATCCAGACCTAGAAAGAGTTTAGAGTGAATATAAGAGTAACATAAGACATTAATATATTTTCTGTACAGCAGCAGCAGCACTATTTAGAAAATGAATAGGAAAAAACAGTCCCATTTGATAATTGAAACAAAAATTTAAATACTAACCCAAGAAGAATTGTACAAGCCTTATATTGAAGAAAATACTAAAACATTACTGAAGGACTAAAAGGAAGACATGGAGAGAGAAATCATATTCCTGAATGGACAGATTTGTGTTTTTCTTAAACCACTAGATCTTACAAACTGTGCACCAGTGGGGTCCCTCAGCCTGGCTTGCGGGATTGGGCCAAAATTGGCTCTCTGACATCCTAGGAGGGGTCCTGGATTGTGAGAGGGTGCAGGCCAGGCCGAGGGACCCCACTGGTGCATGATCAAGGCCGGGAAGGGATGTGGGAGGTTGGCCAGCTGGGAGGGCTCCATGGCATGTCCAGCCTGTCTCACTCAGTCCTAATTATTTGGATCCCAGCAGCAAACTAACCTCCTGGTTGGAGTGTCTGCCCCCTGGTGGTCAGTGCACATCATAGCAACTGGTCAACTGGTTGATTGTCTGCCCACAATGGTTAGTGCACATCATAGTGAGTGAGTGAGTGACCTTAGCATATCATTAGCATATTATGCTTTGATTGGTTGAATGGATGACCAGATGACTGTACACTTAGCATATTAGGCTTTTATTATATAGGATTCCATTTAATCCCCAATAATATTCCATTTTTTTAAGACTTTATTTTCTTGGAGCAGTTGTGGGTTCATAGCAACATTGAGAAGGAAGCTACAGAGATTTTCTGTATCCTCCCTGACTGCACTCATGCATAGCCTTGCCCATTGTCATTGCCCCCCATCTGAATGGCACTTTTGTTACAACTGATGGACACATCAATTATTGCCCCAGACCCAGGTTTACATTAAGGTTCACTCTTGGTGTGATACATTCTGTTGGTTTGGACAAATGTATAATGGCACCTACCAACTATTAGAACAAGATACATGTTTTTGTTGTTTCAAAATCCTATCATTTTTCTTAACACAGCATAATCATTGGGTTAAAAAATTTACCTGAAAGAGAAAATGCTC